GATGGTGTGGTGTTTCTTTTGTCTCTCTCTCTCTCTCTCTCTCTCTCTCTCTCTCTCTCTCTCTCTCTCTCTTTATATATATATATATATATAGGATAGTGTAACCCCTCGTTTTTTCGGGATTTATGGGGATCAAACATCCCCCGCCAAAGGTTAAAATCGTGAGGTCGGATTCACCCCCCCGCGGGAATTTTTGTCTATGTGGTTCGGGAAATATGTCAACAGTATTTTTTCCATAATTGAGACAAAGATTAAAACAGTACACATATTTACTGAAATCTTAATTATAAATACTTGTACAGTAATTAACCTTCATCAACTGAGAGTGGCGAAGAGGCTTGTGTTGGTGGCGTAGAAGTAGGCTATCAATTGACTCGTACAGGCGTTAGCTTCACTTGGAGACTCTTCTGCTGGAGGCGCTGACGGTGTAGCTGATTTTAAATTGGAGAAAAACTTGCTTATAGGTATCACGATGACTTTCATCTTGTCTTCTTTTTAGTTGAAATAGGTTTAAGGGTTATTTTTGATCAGACAATTGTGTGTGTGTGTGTGTGTGTGTGTGTGTGTGTGTGTGTGTGTGTGTGTGTGTGTGTGTGTGTGTGTGTGTGTGTGTGTGAAGAAAAAAAACTCTTACCTCCCAACAGTTTTGGCTGTCACTTCAGCGTTCGTCTGAGCTGTCACTGCTTCCGTGTGACCTGTCTAAAAAAAACAGCTGACCAGGTCGGGAAACCTTCAAAATAAGGCTCCCTGACCCAGTCAAGATTGCGAACCAGCCTCCCGCCGCCACTATACTTTTGTTTTTAGATTTAAATGTATGACAATGTGATGGCACAATAGCATTACATTTTATTACATTTGGAATATTCTTCTTAACAAGTGAGATAATCACACTTCACTTCTTATACCAAGCCTAGTTCTTTCCTCATTACAGAGTTAAAAAAAAAGAAGAAAAAACTCCACCGTGTCAGCACCCTTTGTTGGTTTGAGATGCAACGGCGCCCGCTGTCTCCAGCAGCTGTTGGATGTAGCAGCTTATTGAGGCTGCTCACCAGGGCGGAACTGAACACAGCAAAGGAAGGCAGGAAGGAAGCAAAGCTTTTCTTCATGGCTGCTTTGTGTGTGTGTGATGTGACGTCCGGTGGGCTTTAAGCAATCAAACAGCAGCGCTTAGAAGAAATTGCGTCATGGTGAGGGGAGACACCCGCCACCCTGTGAAAGTGCAGCTGTTCAAAGTGTGTTCAGTGCAAGTTGAAACCAAATAACCTTAGGTCAATTTGCACCGCATGCACAAAAGTACTGGGACACCTGGCAGTCGGCTATATGTGTGCTGAACAAAAAGTCAATGCAACACTGTTTTTTGTTTTGTTTTTTTCTACCATTTTGTCATGAGCTGAACTCAAAGATAAGATTTTTTTGTTTTTTACATACACAAAAGGCCTATTTCTCTCACATGGTTCACACATATTCTCTTTTGCTTTGCTGGATGTTTAAAAATGGTGGCTGTTTGATTTTTTCAATCGCTAACCTCAATTCCCTCCATTACAGTAAAACCGAACATTTTAGAGTGGCCCTTTACTGTGGGTAGCCTAAGGCACGCCTGTGCAAAAAAGATGTTGCACTGCGTGATGAAAATGGTCACACCAGGTCCTGACTGTGTGGTGCTTTTTTTCTTTTCTTTTTTTTTTTTTTTTGACGGGGGTGTCTTGTGTTCCCATGACAACCAGGATAGTGCAAAGAGGCTGAATGACTCAAGTGGCTTTTACTTGCAGAAGTGGAGCCTCATGTGCAAAAACAAAAACAAAAACAGGCACCCCGTGAAGACACTGAAAACATTGCCACTTGGTGCATTCGTACACGTGGCCCATCATGCGGCAGACACATCCATCGGCAAACAGTAATGTCCGATATGCCCCATTCCCACAGCAGTTTACATGTCACTTATTAGATGCTAACACCCCTGTGCTTCCAAAAAACTGACCTGATATTTTTTTCAGACAGTGTAAGGTCTTGAACGTGAGCGGTGGATCTTCAGAGGTGAGGGGGAGGCAGGTTATTATATAAATTAACTGAATTGTGACAACACAGTTCCCAAATTCAGTGTGGCTTAATTGCTCTGTCAAGCACATGTGTATGGTCATATGCACACAGTCCAGCGTGTTGTCACACCATGTTAGTATTATGACATATTGGTGAAAACTTGTCTGTAAATTTGACGAATTTAAAATCACATGAACCATGTAAAATGTCTCTGGGGGCATGGATTATAGCGAGCTAATGGTGTCGTAAGTCTTCCATAGCACAATGCTAGCATTAGCATTAGCATTCAGAATAGTAAGTCTTCCATAGCACAATGCTAGCATTAGCATTCAGAATTATGTAACGAGCAGAGACGTAAGCAGCCATGAACTCACGAGGCAAATAGTGTGGCTGGCAACGAACAGTCAAATGCTCTTTCCTCGGAGCAGTGGCTCATGAATCCACTGTTGGGGCAACGACCTGTGTCGCAATAAATACAGAGCCCACCTCCGCGTTTCTTCCCTGAGAAGGAGTCACAGTCTGTTCGAAACAGCTGTCGTCTATCGATCTCAAGGGCTGAGTCGGGCATGTTGTCATTTGGCCACGTTTCCATGAAACAAAGCACACAACAATTCCTTATCTCGCTGGAACCACTCAACCTCAGACGAAGTAAGTACATTTTATTGTCCACTGAGCAAACGTTGGAAGAGTGATGGTATCGTTGGCTTGTTAGCCTTCAGTTGATTTAGCCATCCTCTCCTTTGCCTGGCTTTTATTTCTACGAGCAAGACTTCCTCTTGGTGGTGTCTCCTCACGCTGTGCATCGCTCTGTTCTTAGGAGCTGCAGTCTGACGTCTGCCGGGACTTTTCAATGTAGATGAAATAGCTGTCTTTGAACGCTCTTGAAATTGGTACGGTTCATCCCAGCTATACTTCACATGCCTTACTGGCATTGAGATGAAAATAAAATTGGATTCAAAGTCAGTGCAAAGGGGCTTAATCCTGGAAGCTTGAGAAGCCTCAGCATGTAGGGGAAGGAGGATGTGACCGAATATTTGCTATGTACATTTAAACGGGCTGTTTATTTTTGCACACCCTGTATTGCCCCACTTAGGTTGCATTAATTAGTATAATCTTCAGAGCCAAGACCGACATCACTGATAAACTACACAGACCCTCCCATTCACATCCATTTCTCAACTCCAACTGAATAAACCTGAATTTTGTCGCAATGATGCATGTCCACATGGGAGGAGTTAGGGTATGCAGGTATTCCCACAGGGGAAGTTGCCATGGGTGACAGCACCAAGCAAAGCGCAAACAACTTCCTGTGGTTGCCATGTGTTCAACAACCCTGCAGAAAGAGAACAACATATCAAAATGCAGTCTTGTGTGCAAACAGAAACACACAGACACTAGATTACCAATGCTTTGGACAGAGTTTTATCCAAAGCTTTTGACATGTTTTTTTTTTGTTTTTTTTTAACCGATTAAAATTCCCTCATGGAGAAATTCAATTTACAATCTGCTGTCGAGCAATGCCAGAGTGAAAAGGGTGCATAAACAATGCTGTACCTCTTTTGCTGGGGTTGCGGGCACAGTGCCTTGCTCAATGGCAGACGACAGTAGCCAGGAGAAAGACTGGCTTCTCTTCAACAACTGAAGTGCTGCCAGTTTAAATTTTCGTCCACAGCAGTATTTGACACGTGACCCTGCGATACCGAAGCACAGGTCTTTACAGATTAGCTACTGCCACATAAAGAAGGAAGAATGGATCAATTAGAATAGAGAAACCTACACTGAGGGTGCAAAAGGGAGTTGGTCGATCTCAAATCACCTAGAAACATTCCACAACAATTGCCTCTCGTGAGAAGGCTCGCCTTCCAACCTCTCGATCAACTGGAAGGCTCAAAACAAAGTTCTGGCCTTGTTCTTTTTGGATCGCCTTGGTCTTAATCCAACTGAGCCTAATGTGTCATGTCGATCTTGGAAGGAGTCAAAGAAGTCCTTCTGAGTTT